TTATTGGGAAGGGAAGCTTTACATTATTGTAGGCAGGGGTGGGAAAGCAAGGGGAGCATGCTTCACCCAGCTTGGGCAAAAACCAAAAGGGTGCCGACTGAGCGATGAATGGAGTATGCGTTTCTATGATTGAGGACAGTTCATTTACTTAATGGCCATCATTGAATCAACCAATGGTTTGTAAATGATACTGACTGCCAATCTGCAGAGAACATAGCAGCCTGGCAGCCCAAATTGGATGCCCTGGGAAGAGACCAGCCACTGGAGAAGAGGGGATGTGCTATAGGGCTGATATAGAACAGAACAAAGCATTAAAGATCACCCTCTCTGAAGGGTTTAAGATGGTTCAGGTCAGAAAACATCAGATTTGAATCAAAGCTGGAAAACACAGGGACAGGATGCATTTGTAATGGGCTGGAAGTAGGAATAGGATGACGACATCCATTCTTGCACTCAGTAATGTGGCTGTACTGGTGATGGGCCAAGCAGAAAGTGTGGATCTGCCCCAGATGCTCTATGTAGAAATGCTGGTTACAAACTGAAATAACAATAAAATAAAATAAACAGATTAAGGCCTGAAAAGGCAAGTGCAGAATTTCATGATCCCATAAAGCCCCACAGGGCATTCTTACCATCAGTAAGACCACTGACAACTCCTTCTGAGCTGTGGGATTCTCACTTGTTCCAATAAACATATTTTTCTTTCATTGAAGTTGAATTCTCATACAAGGTAAGGATCATGGGTGAAATTCAGAATCAGTAGAAGCAGGGGCCTTCTGACTGGCTTGGGAGAAGAAAATATCTTCTATTTTTCCCCTTTGTTATATAACTCGTCTATTTTGTAAGATTCAAAATTAACATTAAACCATTATGTGAAAATAAATCACTTATTAATTATCTTGATTCAGTCCTTTTGTATTTGCATTCCAAGTCTTAACCTGTGTTTTCTGACTGATGGGTGCTATGAAAAATGTGGTATTCAGCATTGCTTTTTCATTTGCAAATCCTAGGAAAATACCGTCTGGTGGCAAGCTGGTTCTGACACTTACAACAGATGCTTGTGAGGGGAAAGAAAACTTTGTCCGTTATCTTGAACACGTTCAAGCAGTTATCACAGTGAACTCTACAAGAAGAGGGGATTTGAATATCAACATGACATCACCAATGGGGACAAAATCCATCTTGCTGAGTCGACGGCCAAGGGATGATGATTCCAAGGTGGGCTTTGACAAGTGGCCTTTCATGACTACACATTCTTGGGGAGAAGACCCCAGAGGTACTTGGGTTCTGGAAGTTGGGTTTGTTGGGATCTTGCCCCAAAAGGGAGTCCTCAAAGAATGGACATTAATGCTACATGGGACTCAAAGTGCTCCCTACATAGACCAAATAGTGAAAGATTACCAGTCTAAACTGGCCATGTCCAAAAAGGAGGAGTTGGAAGAAGAATTAGACGAAGCAGTAGAGAGAAGTCTCAAAAGTATATTAAACAAGAATTAGCACTGCTTTGCATGCCAAATGGCTACATTTCCCCCTTGTCCTTTCCCATACATTCCCATTAGGCACATACCATTCATTGTCTCTCAATTACTATTCCAGCCTTTTCATTCTACAATGGTGCACTGTCTAATTTAATTACAGTGGAAATTTCTGAATTCTGAGCCACAAATATATGATTACGTACCAACTACTTTGTAAGAGTGTATGGCTGTAACTATTTTCATTTGAAGACAGGATATTTTGGGGAGGGGTATTTTACATGTTTTTATTTGTCCTCCTGCAATATGGAACAACCAACTAGCAAAATTGTGGCCACATTTCTTTTTATATTGTCATGGCTGACACCTAACTTACAATTTTATTTTATATTTCTGAAGAGGGCAAATAGACTTGCTGAAATTCTGTCAGTTATCAACGAGGGAAATGAATATCAAATGTTGGAGCTCCAAATTATATTTTATTTATGTTTTCATGAATGAAATTAAACAAGAACAGCTGCAAAATCTTGCATCACTTTCCTGCTGAAAATCTTCCTCATCCCTGGCTGCTATTTGCCTTTGAAAAGTCTGTTTTCAGTAACCAATATCTTCACCAGCGCATAGCAGTAAGAGAGAGGTTTTCAGCAGGAAACCAGTGCAACTGTTTATAGCAGTCTGTTCTGCCCCTTCCCCAAAAAGACAACCCCTCCCCCCCCAAAACACAAAACTTTAAGCACAGTTTTTAAAAAGTATAAAATACAGTTTGGTCCTAAGATTATTTCAAGCACATGGAAAACCAATAAAACAAGAATCTTAGCTTGTCAAAAGTTATAGAATACTGACTCTATTATGCATTATCACATAAACTGCAGGCTTATAGTTTCCTAGAACTAACCCCACTGAATTCAGTGGGACTTACTTTTGACTATGTAAAAATGAAACAAATGACATGAAGCCTATGGGCAAGCTAGTTTTCCAGGCTATAATGTCCACCCAGGTTCTCACTCATGCCTTCAAGGTAACCCTAGGCTGGAAAAAAAATCACCAATCTGTATCAGAAGTGGAAGTACTGACATCAGTAATAAGTGCCTCCCTTTGCACTTATCATAGCTCCTTTGGCAGACCAGTCTGTACAAATAATTGCCAATTTGTGTAGCACACTTCAAGACTTTTATTTGTTGCTTGTTAAATGGTTTCCTAAAGAGCAGGGAGACATATACTCTTAGGGAGATACATCAAAATGAAACATAGTGGAGTTTCTGCTATATTCACAATCCCCACATGGGCTACAGTGTGGCTGTTCTTCTGAAATCTTGAGATCTAAGCTAGAAGTGATAATTTGGCCAGTGGCAGCTAGCTCATGGTCCTGCTTAGATTATTTTTCTGGTGTCCTGCAAGCTAAGGTGAACCCTGTTTGCAAGTGTCATGGAGTGGGGAAACAGTATAGTGATAGTGGTAGTGATTCTGGTGGGATCCCCCCTAGTGATTTAAAGCATCTTCTAGTGACCCATTGCTATCGATGAAGCAAAATATACCCTGTCCTCATTACTGTTATTTCAGCACAACAATAGTTGAATAACACCAAAAGATGCTCCAAGTCTCTTTGAGGCTCCTTCCTTTGTCTTTCCAAAGACAAGGAATGGTTATCTTGATTGGAGAGAAGAATAAGCATCTGCAGTCTTTACCAATGCCTCATGCTCACTTGTGTCTTCTCATCTGTCCTCCCACCTAAAAGAGTTTTAAGCATACATACCAACCTTCTCTGCTTATGATCATGAAAGTTGCCCTGATGGATTCCACAGGAACGAGATCCGTTTTACACCAAGCATATGAAAAAAAAACACATAATCTGCCTGGCAAAATTATTGCCCTAAAGTCTTTAGGAGAAAATACTCACAAATGAATTAATATTCTGACAGTGAGAAGAAGTGATGGGTGGAACTGTTTAATTCTTCTCTGCAAAATTTGGGAGGTGGGGGGTGGAGTTCACTGAAGTTGTTCTGCTCCATAGAAATTTCAGAGTAGAGTGCAGAAATCAGAACGGTGTCTGCAATTCAGTGTAAATATATTTTGATGCAGTGTTAGCTGTTCCTGGTTTGCATTTATATTGGGTTCTAATGCACCACAAAGTCCCTGGACATTTCTGAGGATCTGTAGTCAATACAGATGCTGCAAGAGCATGGGTGGGGAAAGATTTCTTATTGTGAGAACGTGGACTGTGTGAAATGAGAGCAGGAGCTAGCACAATCTGGTGCTCCATCACCTTCTCTGCTCACATTAATGGCTTCAAAACCCAGCAAGTAATGTTGCATTACCCTTTTCTTGCTGCTTTCATACTGAGCTCTGGATTCTTAACAGCATCCCAGTTCCTTGCTGCTGCTGGCACTCTGCATGCAAATAATGATTCTCATGAAATGTGGAATAATTAGTGTTGTCTAATTCTCAATGCAAAATGCATCAGGGTACATATAATTTGTGCAGTGTTTCATACAAATTTATGGGCTGCAATAATGTTTGAATTGTCTCTCACACTCCTCTGTGTTTCCCATTCTGTCTTTATAATGGGTAGTATTTGCAAAGATAAAACCACAAACTTTTCTGTTATAAACCTGTATATTCTGAAGCATGTTTTGGAAATGCATAAATCAAAGACCTGGTTAATGAAGGCTCAGATCCAAAACGTAAAGTCTGAATGAATACATATAGCTCTATCCCTTGATCCACCAGGTACATGAGTCAGTGAACAATAAGAACATCAACCCTTCAGATTAAAAACCATCATAAAGCCAGTCATTCTAAAAATAAAACAGGGAACAAAAGCCATACAATTTAAAAGTGGAAAACAACAAGTAATAATACAGAAGTAAGATGGTCAGTGGTACAAAAATAAAGCAAGCCGTGAACCAATCTCATTTCTCTTGAGAATGAGTTCAGCAACTAGAATTTTGCAACTAAAAGACCTTGCCTTTTGTGCCCATTGATTTAGCTTCTCAGGTGGCATGGAAGAACTCAGCCCCTGCTTGTCATAAACTATGGGCAGTTTCATACAAAGAAGACCAACCTTCAAACTGTGTAGGTTTGTAGGCCAAAGCCAGCACCTTGATATAACAAGTCCTACAAAGGCACTCCATATAAAAGTCTAGGAGCCATGTTTTTCACTAGTTCAAGTTCCAAAACATAATTCATTGGCAATTTTCCATTGAGTATGTAATAATAATCTAAATAAGGTGAATAAAGCATGAAGCGTAAGTGGCCAGATTTTCATTCCTCAAAGAAGAGTATAGCTGGTTTATCTGATAAAATTGAACAAAGATTGTCCTGGCCCATCTATCTCTTGATTTTGCGAGAGCAACTCATGATCCCCAGGTTAAATACCTTATATTTCTGAAGTAATGCTACTTACTCCATAAAACAATGTATTCTCAATTCTAGACTAGTTTATTGATTGATCAAGAGTAGCACTGACTTGCCACCTTCCAGCAACAGTTTAGGACTTTCACAGAATTCTAAAGAGAGTTTAGCTATTTCTTATTACATGGTTCTGGTACAATTCCAATGTTGTTTTTAATTAGGATAATTATGAGGAACATTACTTGAAATTTAATTTGATAACTGAGGGCATTGGCTAGACAAAGTTGAGCTCTTAGTAACTCATTTTCCCTCTTAAGGAAATGCATGCTTAAATCTTTCTCAACAACTGGATACAACTTGGAAGTGTGTAATTTTGGCAGGGGCAAGATCACATTGCACCATTATTTCATTTGTTTGTAATGGATATATGTAGTTTTATTTTTAATTTTTTAATTGTATGCTGCCCAGAGTCACTGTGGAGTTGGGCAGCCTTAAAATTAAAGTAATAAATAAAGAAAATATAGGGAAAAATACGTTAAAGGTTAAGCTTAATGCAGTTCTGAAATCTCTGGCTTTTGAAGGGAGCTGCATATATACACATTTCTAATGACAACTGTGGATAGGACCTCCCAAAAGCAACCCTTAAGATGATCTCAGACACCTGAGAATTCAGATTTGCTGCTCACCAAATAGTAAATTACTTTTTGGAGTTAGGGCTACCACTATCTCCACCACAGGTCAATAAGGACATTGCTATTCTGATAGCTGAACTCGGAAAAATTGTGACATTTCTCCCTAGCTGAGCCAGTTTAATAATAACCAGAAGAGCCAAAGTAATAATATATGTGAAGTCCTAAAAAGGAAGCTTTTTGCACTGAGTTATGGAACAGAAATTTGAATGTCACATTTGCTTGTGACCCTCACCTGGTATATGTGGGATGGTTGATATGAAATTGTGTCTATTACGTTCAGTGAATTCTTCTGCATAAGAAGCCACCTAAATCATTCTGAGCAGGAGGCAGAAAATCCAGATTGCATCCTGGGGGAGGGGGAGAACTTTTTAAAAGCCTGATCCTTTGTTTCTCTTCAGTGGTCCATTAAAATCTATTTCCTGGGATAGAATGGTAGAAGTGGCTCTACTCCAATTAACAGTTCACCCCGAAACAATCCAATAAAAGGATTGTTATAATTAATATATGATCAATATATACCATTATAGAAAATAGGCTAGCAAGTCGAAAAATGGAGAACAAGGCTTGCCAGACATCTCTGACATTAGGGGTCCTTGCTGCATTCTTTGGACATCTGACAGTACTGTTCTTGACAGGAGAAGCTTCAGTGGGGTTGATGTTAAGACTTACTTTGCTGGCTGCTTGATCCTTTGCCCTAAGCCCACTTGTTGCTTGTTCAGATTTGGCTTAGCGTGTTATGGTTGTTAAGCCATAGTTTTAATTACACCAAAATAATTTTTGTAATGTAATTTTATGTCTTGACTGCACTCATTTCTTTGTCCTGGTTCTGTTTCCTTTTTAGAGTGTGATAACCTAGAATGCCACTTAAAAAGCCACGTGCGGCTCTTCTCCCCTAAAAAGTTTGCCCTCCTATTTTATGGTTGAATGAATGCAATATGTTGATCCAGCCACTGTGGCTTGTTCAAGAAACATTGGTTGAAACAAATCATGACTTAGTGTGTGATGGAAGGCAGCCTCTTTGCTTGGTATGTGGCAACAGGTATAGCTGTTCAACTACTTTTTGCAGACTGACCATGGAGCTTTGCTTGTGTGTGTCGTTTGTCCTACAGCTGTATGAGGAATGAGAAAAAGAATGTTAGTAAGCCACTGAATAGGATCTCAGGGTATAAAACCATGTTGATCTGTGCCATATATTGCTGTCTCTTTGCTATGCATCTGTGAGAGAAGATGCTATTTTATTTTTTAAATGATCGATGGTAAAATTATCAATTCATTTTGTTAAATTTATTTTATTTTATTTCCAAATTTTATTTGACACAACTCAGGTGTGCATGTGCTTGCTAATCTCTGCCACAAACAGCAGAGAACACATGAAAAATTCCTCCGACCTTGTTCTTACATAGACCCACACTCAGTATCTCTCTTAATCTCTGTGTCTGTCACACACGCTCACACACACATACAGAGAGAGAGACACAAACATAGAGAAGACCCATTTCATGAAGTTTGGTTTGAGAACACATATACATTCTAAACTGCAGTGCAACTGCCTCTCACGTACACTCACCACATTTTGAAGCACTGAGTGTAGTGGAATAAGCAGGGTGAAAGGGAAAGTGTGGTGAAAGCAGGGTGAAAGTGAACCAGAAATGACACCCAATTCTCTTATCTGCTACTACAGAAAAGTCCACATCTCTGCAGTCATTTCATCTCTACATTCTTTCCCTGAAGGACACAGACCAGCTATTTCTGCAGTTAGGCCCAGAGGGCCTATAGGATCCTTCTGGAGGAAGAGTTATTGTCTCTTTGAGGAAAGCAATGTTATGTAAAGCTCTGAAAAAAAGGTAAAAAGTAGTAAGACAAACAAATCAGAATAAATCTGGTTTACAGCAACTAATTCACTATACCTCTTCTGCCCAGAGATGAGGAAGAGATAGACAGATGATAGACAGACAGATGATAGATAGATAATTGTTGGTATTTCAACTGATTATATTTGCTGCCTTTGAATGAATGAACTACCCGATTATTTCCAATGCCAAATCATACTTTGGATGAGCTCTTCCATGTGTTGATCCAGGGCAGCATCGTCCTTTATTTGCCTCCTCCCCCTTGGCTTGTGGAGTTATTGCTGATTCATGTGGAACAAACAGGCTGATTCATACAGGCACCAGGTTTCCTCTGAAGTAGAAAATGTTGATCTAACCCAAAGTGGTACAAGTGAGGTTCCCAAACCGTCTCTCTAATCAGACCTAGAAAATCTGCTAAATTTCAGCAAGGTAGTCCAGAGCAGAGAGGAATTATGTTGCATATACAGCAGTTATAGCACAAACACTCAACCCTTTACATAAGCATGATCGTAATAGAGTTCATCACAGGAGCCTTCTCAGTAAGACATTATTAGTTTCCTGCTAAACAGAAGATGAACTAAGGTTAAAGTGCTTGCCAAATGGCTGATTAAACACAGATGACAAATTAATGGACAGGTGATAAAGCAAGTGGATTGTTATCAATATCTGGAAGTGATTTTTTCATGCCTCAAGATCATGGAGCGTCCAGCTGTCATATGCAGGGAATAATGCTCAAAATGCTTCCTTTGGCATCTTGAGAGTTTATTGCAGAGCCAGTGGGCTCTATATCCCTTCAGTGTTAAAAGTTTCTAATGCCAAAGTTTTATGTATCTTGATGTATGGGGTACAGACTCACGAGTATCCCTACTTTCCCTATCCAAAATATTTAGTACTCTGCTGCTCCAAAATGTGACACTTTGCTTGCAAGCAGAACAGACATTTCTGAAAGCTATATAAGGCCTAGATGATGATGGGGTTCTACCTTACTCTTTTTGCCAGAATATTCAGCCATACTTCCTTGGCTCGATTCTTTCTGCTCCGCCTGGTCAGTTCTTGTTATGGGTAAGATGGTGAGCTGTGCCCTCTCTCTTTACTGTTTGGCATCTCTGGGATTTAGCAAATCAAGGAGACATTAAAACGATGGATTGTGGATGTAGACCAGGTGAATAATACAGGACTTGGGCTAACCAGTCAGTTGAAGCATTTGAAAAATGTGGGTTCCCGTTGGGCTCCAGCTTCTAAACATTACTCTCCAGAGCCCCAGAAATTAAGAACATTCTTATGGGCAAGTTTGCAGAGAATACCAATGAGAAAGACCACATCTGCCTTTATGGATTGGACCAAGTTTACCTACTCCTTTCCATACCGCTCTTATTACAATGGCAGTGGGTTTATTCTGATTGTCCCCTTACTATCTCAGCTCCCAGGGTACCCTGGCGCCTTTTATGTTGTTTATCTGTTAACAGATAGGACTGTTAATCACCCATATAGGGTTGCTAGGTTTTGTGCTATGGTTGGCATTCCTCAAAGGTTAATGATTGCCTGGTGCTGAATGTAGGCACCGGGTCACCATGGTTCTTATCTCTTTACTTTTAATTCAATTTTTATTTTTGTTCTTTCTATTTTCTTTTTCTTTTTTAAAGAACTGATTGTGTTTACTCTTAATAGTGCTGGTCTTGTGATGGTAATAAAATGAGAATCAAATCAATTATTTCATGATTTATTTGCACATGTGACTTGCTGTACTGGGCACAATGCAAAGATATATTTCCCTTTCAAAGTGAAAACTAATTGTGTGCATTTTTCACCAAATCAGTGTGAACATCTACATGTATTTGTTAATTTGCAATGAACAAACTAATTATTTGATTATAACCTTTACAGTCGCTATATTGTATCTTTCAAATCCCCCAGTACGGTTTAATTTACGAAACTCCAATGCTGGACATAAAAAAGGCATGGCTAATTATATGCTTGAATAAATAGGGAGGTTGCACATTCCAGGTAAAGATTCATAACAACATATAAACATTAAGATGTGCACCAAATCTGAATTTACCCAAGTTTAAATTTGTATTCTGACAATATGGGAATCATATGAATTAATAATGCTGCCAAAAATTGTACATGCATAGTAGCTCCTTATTCTTTTCTTTTCTTTCTTTCTTTCTTTCTTTCTTTCTTTCTTTCTTTCTTTCTTTCTTTCTTTCTTTCTTTCTTTCTTTCTTTCTTTCTTTCTTTCTTTCTTTTGTGATAGGCAATGTCCATAATGTGCAGAAATGAGAAATAAAAGTAATAATGTGTGGGCCCTGGGCCCATGGGGATCCTGTCAGTGGTGAGACTTGCAGGAAGCCACTGTATATTCTCAAACTGTGTACTGATGTGCAAACATTTTGTATTATTACATTGCTTCTGGATTTATTTTTTTTTGTTCACTATTATGAATGGACATTGTTACATTGTTTAAACCTATGAATGTAAAATAGAGTAAAAGAATACATTGGGGCTAATTCTAATCTCAGATTTTTGCATGAACATGAGAGCTTTAATAACTACTGACCAGATCCTTCTGAGGACAGCAGAAAAACTTTTAGCCACAACTGAGCACACCTTAAATTCAGAGGCTCCCATTCCCTTTGATGAGAGAAGCACATTCACCATATGCATCAGCATTTGTGGGGTATTTTGCATGAAACACTTTTACAATGGAAAACTAGAGGAAGCCTTTGTATATACAAAATAACTGAGTTGCATGGCCATAGACTGTCCCTAAAGCTAATTAAGAGGTAGAGAGACTTCCTTTGAATCCCATTTTTTTTTTAATTTTTGGAAGCCATGATTCCTT